CAGGTGGCCTACCAGTACCAGTGATGGGTGGTCTCATATTTCCAAGACCTGAGTTCGAATCCTGGAGGATCCAAGTGAATGAAATGTTTAATAATAATACTAATACATATGGTGAATTTTCGATCTTCGTATATAGTAATTAAGATAGGTATTGGTGAAGTATTTTTCTTTTTTTTGGTTTAGTTGAAAACTAATAAAAAAGACCTTGAGAATTTGGACGTCATTTGTTGATGATAAACAGTGTACGCCACTTCCAAACAAATGTGACAGGTACAATATATATCTCTATTAACCTAAGCCATCACCTTTGCAGTCCACACATACTATCACTTCTCACTACATCACTACAAAACAACATACAGTATCTCAAAATATATGAGGAAGAAATTGTATTCCAAAGCTGCATGACGTCGTGATATATCACAACTGAGGTTCTAATATCCATGCTAAAAAAGTCCACCCACAGGCGGCACTGCCGCTCACATTACGATATCACCGCCCTCGAGGACAGCATCGCCGCCCTCAAAGACAGCATCGCCGCCCTCAAAGACAGCATCGCCGCCCTCAAGGACAGCATCGCCGCCCTCAAAGACAGTACCGCTGACTACTGGACAGCATCGCGGATGCTGTCTTGTTCCACCGTCAACCCGACGGTGGTACAAGACTGAACCTCTGATCGGGGTGTTGGAGAACCTGAGCAAGACTCCTTGACGCCTGGTGCACGCCGGCGGTCACAAACCACAGCCGCCGCCGACAAAGTTGTCGTCGGCAAGTCTGAAGGGGGAACAGATGGCAAAATTAAGGGATATTGTACGAGGGCGAGGAAAAAGAGAACGATAGGGATGATGGAAAGGAACGGGTATAAGGGTGAGGAAAGGGGAACGATAAGGATGATGGAAAGAAACGGGGTTAAAGGTGAGGTGGAGGGATAGACTTAGTTCTGAACCATTGGGGTACCGCGTATCCACACTGAGAACCATTGGCTGATAAAGGAAGAGTTAGAGGAGAGGGTGGACTGCGCTGTGCATCTGGTACATATATTTCCTTCTCGGAAATAATTATTCATAATGCCTCTCTAAATGAGGCTACTCTTACCAACACTTAATTAACAACGATGACAACATAAGCACTGTAGCCTCAAATTTACCAGTTGACTCTCTCAACCAAAACCACGTATAAACATGACAAATCGGTTTAACATTTCAGGTAATTTTCGACTGCATCACGATTCTTGGGTGCAAAAACCCCCCATACGTAAAATCTGTAGAAGTCTGATGACAAATAAAATCTGATGTCTTACGACACATTTTGGTTGAGAGAGTCTTTGATGATGGCTAAACCACGTAACTGGTGGACACTTAGATTGAGAGCTAAAAGTCTGTGATACCAGACTGGGTCACTTCAAGCTTACAGTTAGTATATCACATATAGAATTACATACAAGATCACTTAAATAAAAAATCACAAATAACCTTATCCCTTACATTAACACTTAGTAGACGTTGCTGTTCTGTCTGGCGTTGAGAAGTTTCCTTAAGTGTCTGTTAGCGTCTCACTACCTCTCCTGAAGCCAGCTAAACTTACTAAATTATACACTTCACTATTAGAAACAGACTCAGGTTATGAATCGAATCCAGATATTTGTTTTGGCTGGAGCTGGCTTGAACGGGATGGATTCCGGTTTTCACCAACAGCACGAAAGAGAAGACATCAACACAGCATTAACAGCAAGGATATAACTGAAGTTTTTATAAAAATACAATAATTTATCTCTGAATGTGCGTCACAGAGCCTGTATGTCCTAGCGGGTCCCCCAACCTTCCCTTCAAACTTTCCCTTCAAACAGCCTGAATTTTTAAGTCATTGCTTCAACTCTCGAAAATTTCAGGACATTGCTAAATTTCGCGAACAATAGGGGGGCAATTCTGAAGCAATATCAAGATAATGTTGAGGGTTTATGAGCCTCCTCCTGCACTTCTCAAATACTCATAACAGAAGGTATACTATGGGGTAGAATGGAATGCTAAGCTTACCGACACATTTTTCTCAACTCGAGAGTTGCAGAAGATAGCGTCTTGTGTTGTTAATGGTGAATGTCTTTGGTAACACGAGATAATGCATGGTTAGTGGTGGGTATGTTCATGGGAGGGGGAAGGATGTTCAGAGAGTAGGAAGAGAGTATCTGATCAAGAGGGGTAAGAGACGATGCTCATGAAGGTTACTGATGAGAGGGAAGAGGGGGTTTACTGATGAGAGGAAAGAGGGGGTTTACTGATGAGAGGAAAGAGGGGGTTTACTGATGAGAGGAAAGAGGGGGTTTACTGATGAGAGGAAAGAGGGGGTTTACTGATGAGGTGACAGGAGCAGAGGGAAGTTTATGACTGGGATCAGGTAGAGGAGAATGCTTGTGAGTGGGACATAAGAAGGGTGAGGAGAGGTAGTGAAAATCAAAGACACGAGGAGCAGTTTCAAAGCAGAGATTGATGCAAATTTATATATTCATTTGTGGTGCCATCCCTCCCACGCCAGCACCCCAATTCCTTATAGTAACTACGCAAACAATTTCCCCAAGAACCCTCGTCAAGTAGCACTCCAAATATCCTCAGTCAGTAACACTCCAAGGACCCATTCCCCACAAACTCTTCAGCCCATACCGCGAGTTGTTCAAAGCTCACACATAAAAAAGGTACTTGCTCGGAGAGAGACTTTAATGCAGTACTATCCAGCAGTGGTGCTGTTGCACTCTGGGAGACTGAGATAAATTCTCAGCATTGGTAAGCACTCGAGTAAGAGTGTCAGCGCCTGATTACCTTAGTGTAACTTCCAGACAGGTTTGGAATATAGGAAAGTGACCAGCATTGTGAACTATTATTAATGCCTTTGGCCTCCAGTCATCCACTCGCGATACACAAACTTCACTACTAGTCCTCTCGTGTTGTCACACCGTCACAAAAATGCTGTAATAAAATTCCTGAGCCTAACCAAACCAAGGACCACCGAACAGAAAACGAGACAGCCGTCGTCACTGTTACCAGCCGCTATAATTTATAGTACATCATATTTTAACCGTTGGGAATGTATTATAAGTCAAAATGCAATGCACTATTCAAGAGGACATGTTGCACAGTAGATGTGGCAGCTTCCATATAAGAACTAGAGACGTTTCTGCTGGAGTTTACCGGATCAACCTGGCTGTGATGGCTATATGAACCTTCGGGGTACGAAGATAAACATCTCCACAGACCAGATGATCACTAGGGAAGGCTGTGGGAGTAGAATTCTCGAAGTCATCAACTGGTAATCAACAGCGATCAACCTGTCCGCTGTTGCATCACTATACATAAAATGCATGTGAAAAAAGCTATATCATATCACAGATTTCATGCTGACTATATTAACAAATCTTAAACTACAAAATACAAATCGGTCTATTATTATTATTGTATATATTCACAATAGTGTTATTAAGTCTCATTATAAACTTACAATATACAAAAAATAATCTTAATGCCGCAACACCGTTTGACTTTACTCAAAAATTAATTATCGAAATTATGAAAACAATAACTGCCACGTTGAAATAATACCCATGTTGATGCTACCTGTCTTACCGCGAGCCTTCACCTTGTTATACACTCATTCTTCCTTCTGAAGCCTTATATCAATTCTTATAGTCTTAATATAGTCTTAAGTCTCACGACTTTCATAGAACACTAGGGAATGTTATTATAACATTATACTTATAATTAACACAATTGCAACATTATAATTAACATAACTGAATTATTAAACTTTAAAAGGCAAGTCTGGCTGTTGGGCTCCGGGCATATATATATATATATATATATATATATATATATATATATATATATATATATATATATATATATATATATATATATATAACAAAATGTATCATTTTTGAAAATCGCGCAGATTGTGCATAAAACAAAGTGAAGATACCACGAATACAGAAAATCAAGAGAGAATCCCAATATTCAGGGAGATCTAATTCAATGTGGCTGATCCAAGTACATCACTTATATTAATACATTAAACAAAAGGGAAGGAGATGGAGCTCGAGAAAGAATAAGATGGGAGAAGAATGAGGGGAAAGGATGTTCTTTTAGCTTCAGCGACTTGGAACAACATTTCCCTGTAGCACGGGCTATGGTGAGCCCGTCAACAGGGGGAAGGAGAAGGCGAGGGATGAAATAGGACCGGGAGGGAGAAGTGAATGCCCTCAGCATAGCCAGTTGCTCCTGGAGGCTGGAAGAGGAAACTTCAACGTCGAGAAGGCATGCACTAATGGGTCAGCCTAATGACACGTCTGGGTGCTGGCTTCTGTACAGTATTGACACTAACCGTCGACATCGTAAACCAAGGCCACTCAGAACACCTCATACCTCCACGCGCACGGATTATGACAGAAAAGTGTATAATGAATTACCTGGCCATTATAGAGCGTGTATGTGCCATACATGCTCCATTATGGTAAGACCCTTAACTAATAGGTTATTTTACTGTGCAGTAGTACATTTCATTTCCTTGTTACCCACACAACACTAAGTCTTTACGTCCCTCTTACGACATCTGAATGTTCAATTTTCATTTCTGCTCCCAATTCGGTTGTCTAATGCAAAATTAGTTTTCTACTCTGGCAATGCTTCTGATCCTATTTTATTAAAACCTCGTATCAGAGACCAGCACATTCGGTCTAGATCTAGTCTCATGGTAAATCTCTTGACTTTCCTGTTATTGTGTGTGTGTGTGTGTGTGTGTGTGTGTGTGTGTGTGTGTACTCACCTAGTTGTGTTTGCGGGGGTTGAGCTCTGGCTCTTTGGTCCCGCCTCTCAACCGTCAATCAACAGGTGTACAGATTCCTGAGCCTATCGGGCTCTGTCATATCTACACTTGAAACTGTGTATGGAGTCAGCCTCCACCACATCACCCCCTAATGCATTCCATTTGAGGAATATATATGTGTGTGTGTGTGTATGTGTGTGTGTGTGTGTGTGTGTGTGTGTGTGTGTGTGTGTGTGTGTGTGTGTGTGTGTGTGTGTGTGTGTGTGTGTGTGTGTGTGTGTGTGTGTGTGTGTGTGTGTGTGTGTGTGTGTGCTTTGTTCTGTCTTTCTGGCTCCTCGCTATCATTAAAACTACTGGATCCCTAAGTACTAACCACTATACATCAACTAGTGACATACGTGTTTTCAATTATGTACACAAAATACAAGTTAATGCCTTTCCCCTACACCAAAATGTTTAGGCTTCACCCACTGGAAATAAATAAATAAATAAAAACAAAGTTATAATGCAAGGACAAGTGTCACAGACGGCCGAGAACTGAGCGACCTGGCTTTATGGGGAAGGGAGTCAGGTCATATTTACCACCGTGTCCCTCTTACCCAAAGGAGTGTGGGTCAGGTCGTTATCAGTGGCACTCTTACCCATGCTACTCTGGGGATGAGGGAGTCAGGTCGTTATCAGTGCCACCCTTACCCCTGTTACTCTGGGGATAAGAGAGGTAATCTGTACCACACTTGGCCCTCAATCCCTCCCTCCAGCCGATTATCCTACGCAGTTTTAAACATATACAATATATGCAAATATTTGAGCTGCTTGTTGCTATATAGGAGATAACTACTGTATATGGCCTAAGTCGTCCACTCAGAAGTGTCTTCAATAGCATCTTTTGTCATTCACAATTTTTTGTATTTTTCCCACTTTATTGTCTTTTTACTGTTAAACTCCTTTCATTTTTGGAAATTTGTTCTACTCGTTTAATACCTTAGTTCACAAAGCTTGTGTAAACATTTTAACTTTTACTGCAATTCTAATCTACTGTGATTATTTGATTTTTTCTCTGGTTGTCAATTTTCACATCTACATCTCTGTTGCACATCTCATATCCGTTTATTTCGCGGCTGGAAGAATATGTTCCTTATTCCATGATCAAAAAATGTAGTCTATTTCAGCGCGTGCCACTGGGAGACGACCTTCCTGGGTGAAGCTATGATGGCTATCCAGTGCTGCCGCTGTTCTTCCCCGCGAACGCTGCACCCAAGAGCCACCTTACCCACGTATCTATCCTGCTTCTTGTTCTGGTTCTGGTCGTGGACCGGTGAGCTGCCAATATCAGGGAGCGCTAGGCCAGCGTCCGAGAGGACGTTGGCGGAGTGGTAGGAGGCGTCGGAGCTGGTGGGTGTGACGGCCATCTGTGGCGGCCGCGTGCATAACACCAGCAGGAATGTCACGTGCTCCACCTGCGAGGAGAGAAAGAAACAATTTAGCATCGAATGTACAAACTGGGCGTGAGAAAGAGTAATCGGTGTTAGCCTAATGACGAGAAGAAAATTTGTAGTTATCGTCCAGCTTAAAAAAAGCAGAATTGGGTTCATAATTCTGACTGTTCCCTCAATCCGCCGCAAAAAGCTCCCTACAGTGTGTGGCTCAGTTGTTGTGCCTATAATCTTCAGAAACTGAATGTATCTCTTAACCCTGATAAAACTGTTCACTATATTCCCCCTTGGAAAGATGTGGAGGTCTCTCTGCATTATACTCCCATCAGTGTAAAACAAATGTATAACACTGACATTTTGAGATGTATAACATTAGAAGCTATTGACAGTCATCTTCAAATTCTCAAACCGACTGAATCCTATGCCTTTACTGATGGCTCTGTGCAGTTAGGCACTGGTAGAACAGGTTGTGCATGTGCAGTGTATAAAGGGAATGAAATGATCATGACTAGTACACAGAGATTGAACAACTGGGCAAGCACGACACAGACCGAGCTATTGGGTATTTATCTAGCCACTGAATACCTTAAGCTCAATGGTGGTGGAGTTATTTTCTGTGACTCTAAAAGTGCTCTGCAGTCCTTAAATAACCCATCACAATGTATGTCGGAAGTAGCTTGTAATATTAAATGGAATGTAATTTTTGCCAATGATAATAATTCTTGTATAAAATTTGTGTGGATCCCATCCCATGTTGGAGTTGAAAAACATGACTTTGTAGATCAATTGGCCAATGAGGCTTGCAGGAAAGAAAACATTGATTATGACTTTGGACTATCTAATGCAGTTATTAGAAACATACAAATTAAAGAAATTAATTCAGATTTAGAAGAACTAAGAAATGCACAGAGACCTGAAAGCTGCAGTATTAAAAGTTATGACAAGTGTTGTAATAATAGGTATTTGTATGGTCAGCACAGTAACCGGACCAGGCAATGTGATGTAGTAATTGCGCGAATTCGCCTTGGCTATAGACACATCTGGCAGGTTAGTGAGGCTGAGCCACTACCAGAATATTCAGATTGTAAACTCTGTGATAAACCTTTAATGCATTCACTAGAACACTATATTGATGAATGTGAAACCGTAAAGGACTTTAGACCTCCTGGCCTATTGTACCACCAACTGTGTAACTATTTTATTGACTCAGGTGTTCTGGACGACATCCTAACAATTTACCCAAAATTTGCATGTCCATTTTAAAGAATGAAGAACAATTTCTACTTATATTCTAAGCTGCATCACTTATGAACCCATCCCTGCCCTTGTGTGGCAGTGCACAATAGAAAGTTGTTTTCACATATCCACACATTAAAACATTGATTGTAACCGTGATATATATGTGCTTCAGCCTACAGTTTAGACCTATTGTCTTATGTATGACCCTCTGTCCTGCGTGACAGTGAATACTAGCATTAACCTCAATTTAATAAGACTATCAAAATCCTCAGATTAGGCAAAATTGTAATTAATTTTGTCAATAAAGATGTTAATAATAATAATCAATCTTTGACAACTTTGGTTACATTTATTAAACAGTTTACAAGCATGAAAACTTCCCAATCAACTGTTGTTATTGTTATAAACAACCTCCTGGTACTACGGAGCTCATTAACTGTTCAATAATTGTAAACAATGCCGCCAAAGATTGAGAAAAGATGTTCAGGTTCGTAAGTGCTCGTGTAACTGCTTCGTGAATCTGGCCCCAGGTACCATAACGCACCTGGGACTGAGCGAGGTCAAAGATCAGAGTCTCGTTCCAGACGGGAGAGGCTGTGTTGGACCTCCAGGTGGTCTTCTTCTTCTTCATCACCCGCCCCGACCCGCTGATCAACAGCACTCTGATGTACGGACCTGCGGGCAAGGACAGAGAACAGGGATAGGGGTTGGCGAGGCAGCAGAAGAGGGAGGGAGGGAGGGTTAGCGAGGCAGCAGAAGAGGGAACGAGGGAGGGTTAGCGAGGCAGCAGAAGAGGGAACGAGGGAGGGTTAGCGAGGCAGCAGAAGAGGGAACGAGGGAGGGTTAGCGTGAGGGCAGAAGGGAAAAGAGTTAATAGGACAGCATAAAGGGGGAAAAAGTAGGGTTATAAATGGGAACAAACATAACTGAAGGTCTTTCGGTCCCATGATGCGGTTACCTTGAGGTGCTTCCGGGGCTTAGCGTCCCCGCGGCCCGATCGTCGACCAGCCTCCTGGTTGCCGGACGAGAGAGATGAGATCAAGCCTGAAACAAAAGGCTCTCTTCCTACCCTCCACTACAGACAGAAAATAAACAGTAGCACTATTCCGTATTAAGAACTAGCATGGGCCTTAAGCCTTAAAAACCAACCACGAAAAACAGTAACTCTGGATTTTGAAGCCAACTGAAATTGTCATGCAAATCTTCTTCAGAATTATGAGTTACATATTACTTAGAGAGAGAGAGAGAGAGAGAGAGAGAGAAGAGAAGAGAGAGGAGAGAGAGAGAGAGAGAGAGAGAGAGAGAGAGAGAGAGAGAGAGAAGAGAGAGAGAGAGAGAGAGAGAGAGAGAGAGAGAGAGAGAGAGAGAGAGAGAGAGAGAGAGAGAGAGAGAGAGAGAGAGAGAGAGAGAGAGAGAGAGAGAGAGAGAGAGAGAGAGAGAGAGAGAGAGAGAGAGAGAGAGAGTGTTACAGTCAACGGGTCAGAGAGTTACAGAGAGAGAGGTGGGGGGGACTCTGATAAGCATTATCCTACATTATCATATTCATAGAACACGAGCCGCTAATCGGTTAACAACCCAGATCCCCAAATTACAACTGGATGAACAGGAGGAGAGAACAGGTAAAGACTAGCGCCCAGACAACCCTCCCTGGCCAGGGACATACCACTACGCTAACAAAAATATCCCCCATGTTGTGGTAGAGAGGGAGGAAGGAAGGACAAGTAACAGGCAGGATATAGAAAGAAAAACAAAAGAAACAAGGAGCCCGCACGAGCCAAAGAAACATCAGTCGTGTGGAATAGCCCGTTATACACATCTACTTGCTACTCACAGAAATCCTTAAGGTCGTCGACCACGTTGGAATACTTGAGGTTTTGCGCCTTGATGACAGACACCGACAGTCTCTGCGCCGTCGGCAGGTAACTCAAGCCGAAGAGCACCTCCCCGAGGTCCTGTTGGATTGATACAGGTGAGTTGATTAGGCACCAAGATGCCAGGTATACACTGGGTTACGGCCAGGTACACAAAAGATCAGTTACGAGCTAGGTTACTGGCTGGAACGTGAATTATACAGCAACAATGTATACAACTTTGGCTAGTTTACCTAAGTTTACCTGGAGGTCAGTATCAAGGTTCTGTAGGCTAAGTAATTTACATTTGTGGTATAATAGTTAAGGTTTGATTGTCTCAAGTTTGAGACCAAGTTACAAGGGAAGTGATTGGATAACATTACTGTATTTAGCCGTTAAAGTGTACTACCTGCAGTACAGGTACAGGTGTACTACCTGCAGTACAGGTACAGGTGTACTACCTGCAGTACAGGTACAGGTGTACTACCTGCAGTACAGGTACAGGTGTACTACCTGCAGTACAGGTGTACTACTTTAAGTACAGGTACAGGTGTACTACCTACAATGCTCAGATTTGAGATATCTACCTGTCTGGGATTTGGTTAATATGCCTTTTTCAAGTGTGACGTGTGTGTGTGTGTGTGTGTGTGAGTGTGTGTGTGTGTGTGTGTGTGTGTGTGTGTGTGTGTGTGTGAGAGTGTGTGTGTGTGTGTGTGTGAGAGTGTGTGTGTGTGTGTGTGTGTGAGAGTGTGTGTGTGTGTGTGTGTGAGAGTGTGTGTGTGTGTGTGTGTGAGA